TACCCTATTCATGATTTAAAGTTGGCAGCTATTGTTCATGCATTAAATATTTGGAGGCACTATCTCTACGGTGTGTCTTATGAAGTGTTTACGGATCATCGGAGTCTCCAGCACTTGTTCAAACAAAAAGATCTAAATTTGAGACTACGGAGATGGTTGGAGCTACTAAAGGACTATGATATTACTATTTTGTATCATCCCGGAAAGGCCAATGTGGTGGCCGATGCCTTGAGTAGAAAGACAGTGAGTATGGGTAGCCTTGCATTCATTCCTGTTGGTGAGAGGGTTCTTGCAGTTGATGTTGAGACCTTGGCCAACCAGTTTGTGAGATTAGATGTTTCAGATCCCAGTCGGGTTCTAGCTTGAGTGGTTTCACGACCTTTCTTATATGACAACATCATAGAGCGCCAGTATAATGATCCCCATTTGCTTGTTCTGAAGGACACAGTTCAGCACGGTGATGCCAAAGATGTTACTATTGGGGATGATGGGATGTTGAGGATGCAGGGTCGGATTTGTGTTCCAAATGTAGATGGGCTGCGTAAATTGATTCTTGAAGAAGCCCACAATTCGCGGTATTCCATTCATCCATGTGCCGCTAAGATGTACCAGGATTTGAGACAGCACTATTGGTGGAGAAAAATGAAGAAAGATATAGTTAGGTATGTAGCTCGGTGTTTAAATTGTCAACAGGTGAAGTAAGTACATCAAAGATACCGGGCGGATTGCTTCAGAGACTTGAAATTCCAGAATTGAAATGGGAGCGTATTACCATGGACTTCGTAGTTGGACTCCCACGGACTTTGAGGAAGTTTGATGTTGTTTGGGTGATTACGGATCGGTTAACCAAGTCCACACATTTTATTCTAGTCGGTACTACTTATTCTTCGGAGCGGTTGGCCTAGATTTATATCCGCGAGATATTTCGCCTACACGGTGTGCCAGTGTCCATCATTTCAGATAAGGGAACACAATTTACATTACAGTTTTGGAGAGCAGTGCAGCGAGACTTAGGCACAAAGGTTCAGTTAAGTACAATATTTCACCCTCAGACAAACGGATAGTCCGAGCGCACTATTTAGATATTGGAAGATATGCTTCGCGCTTGTGTTATAGATTTTGGGGGTTCTTGGGATCAGTTTCTGCCACTTGCAGAGTTTGCCTATAATAACAGCTACCAATCGAGAATTCAGATGGCTCCGTATGAGGCATTATATGGGAGACGATGTCGGTCTACGGTGGGTTGGTTTGAGCCGGGTGAGGCTAGGCTATTGGGTACTGATTTGGTTCAGGATGCTTTGGAGAAGGTTAAATTGATTCAGGATCGACTTCACACGATGCAGTCTAGACAGAAGAGTTATGTTGAGTGGAAGGTTCGCGATGTTGCTTATATGGTAGGAGAGAAGATACTACTTTGAGTTTCGCCTATGAAGGGTGTTATGAGATTCGGGAAGAAAGACAAGTTGAGTCCTAGGTATATTGGGACTTTTGAAATACTTAAGAAGATTGGAGAGATAGCTTATGAACTTGCTTTGCCGCCTAGTCTATCGGGTATTCATCCAGTGTTTCATGTATCTATGCTCTAGAAGTATGTCGGAGATCCGTCTCATGTTTTTGATTTTAGTACGGTTCAGTTGGATGGTAATTTGACTTATGATGTGGAGCCGGTAGCCATTTTAGACCCGCATGTTCGAAAGTTGAGATCAAAGAACATAGCTTCAGTGAAAGTACAGTGGAGAGGCCAGCCAGTCGGAGAAGCTACTTGGGAGACTAAGCGGGAGATGCAGAGCGAATATCCATACCTATTTGACACTCTAGGTATAACTCTAAACCCGTTAAAGGATGAACGTTTGTTTAAGAGGGGGATAATGTAATGACCCGGCCGGTCGTTTTGAGTATTATAGCCCCGTTCCCCCATTTACTACTCATTTTGTACTTTATAGTTATTTTGTGACTTGCAGGGGTAATTGGTTCGGGTCCGGTGAAGTTCCAGAATGAATTGGAACACTTAGTTCCAATATTTAAAGCTTAAGTTAAAAGGTTGATCGGATGTTGACTTATGTGTAAATGACCCCAGAATAGAGTTTTGATGGTTCCAATAGCACTGTATGATGATTTTAGACTTAGGAGTGTGTCCGGATATTTAATTGGAAGTCTGTAGTTGATTTTGGCTTGAAATAGCGAAAGTTGGAAATGGAAGGTTTTGAAGTTTGACCGGGAGTTGACTTTTTGATATCAGGGTCGGAATTCAGTTCTTGAAATTTTGATAGGTCCTTTATGTCATGTATGACTTGTGTGCAAAATTTGGGGTCAATCGGACTTGATTTGATAGCTTTCGGCATCGAATGTAGAATTTGGAATTCGTTAGTTTTCATTAAACTTGAAATGGGGTGCGATTCGTGTTTTAGTGTTGTTTAATGTAATTTGAGGCATCTACTAAGTTAGTGTCATGTTATGGGACTTGTTATTATACTTGGTTGGGGTCCCATAGGGCTCGGATGAGTTTTGAAAGAGTTTTTGGATGAGTTTGGTGTTTTGAGCATAAGCATGCAGCGATCCAAAGGTCCATTTTTAGTTCTAGAGATCGAAATTCGATTTCGAGTCTTTCAGGAGTTTGATAATGAATTATAGGAATGATCTGGAATGTTTGGTCTGATTTCATCAAGTCGCAATTGGGTTTTTAGCGCGAAACATGAGTTAATTGTTTAACAAGCGAAACTGGTATTTCATTGAACAAATGAGCTCTGAATTAAGTTTTGATAGAACGACTAGGTTTGTATTATTATTTGAGACTCATAGGAACAAGAATTGTCGAATTCCGAGTTCGTATGATGGAGTTAGAGCCTTTTTAGTAAAAATAATAAATTGCTGGTGCAAGCAGGTTCTTGTGCGGACCTTTAGTGACGAGAAATGGACTTTTAGTGATGGGCAATGGACTTTTATTGACCAGATTAGTGTTTTTATTGAGCAGTTTTGTTTTTTAGCTCATTTCAATTTTTTTGGGCGAAAGAAGACGGGTTGAGGCGATTTTTAGCGAGAATTCACGGAAAAACTTGAGGTAAGTCCCTTGTGATCATTGTTAATCAATAATATCGAATTATCATTGAGTATTTCGACTAGATTACGTGTATTTGAGGTGTAATTCGAGAAATCGGGCCTAGAGATTTGAAAATAAGATTTGAGATTTGGAGGTCGAGTAGATGTCGGAATTTGGTAAATTTGGTATGGTTGGACTCGTGGTTGAATGGGCGTTCATTTTTTGTAACTTTTGTCGGGTTCCGAGACTTGGATCCCACTGACCATTTTTGAGTTGAATTTCGAATTTTGTTGAAAAATTAGTATTTTCATATGGAATTAATTCCTATAATTTGTGTTGACTATATCGAGTTAATTGTGACTAGATTCGAGGCGTTCATAGGCCGATTTGCAAGGCAAAGGTGTATTGGAATAAAGAATTTCACGGTTTGAGGTAAGTAACACTTTTAAATTTGGTTATGAGAGTATGAATCCTTGAATTCCGTGTTATATGACTTGTTTGGAGGTGACGCACATGCTAGGTGACGGGCGTGTGGGCGTGCACCATAGAAATTGTGACTTTCCATGGAGTTGCATAATCAAATAATCATGTCATTATCCACATATCCCCCACGTGTTAGAGGAACTTGAGCTGCGACTCATGTTAAAGATCATGTTTAGGCTACATGCCGATATGTTTGGGACTCACAGAGGTCTTATTGCTGTTGAATTACTTGTTTAAATTTACAATTTAGTACTCAGTCACATCTATCATTTGCATATCATATTTCATTCTCTATTGTTATTCATTGATACATCATATCATCATGTCGGGTTAATTTTTATGTCACTGAGATCCCGAAAGACTGGAGATTTTGAGTGATATTTATGGCATTAGGTTGCACCCCACAACATATTTTATTTATTTATGCCTGGATCAGGCTATTATGGCGCTTGGGCTGAGGGAGCCCCTACGGAGTCTGCACCCCCCACAGTTAGCGCGGTTGATTTTATATTGCGGGATGGATCATCCCTGGGCATGGATCTTGCCCGAAGCATTTTATATTGAGGGATAGATCTTCCCTGGGCATGGATCTTGCCCGAAGCATTTACATTGAAGGATGAATCTTCCCTGGACATGGATCTTGTCTAAATCATTTATATTTGGGGATGGATCTTCCCTGGGCTGGATTGGCCTTACACANATATATATATATATATACACAGAGTGATTGAGTATTCTGAGAGTGTGAGTATATGAGGTTTCCATTATGGTACATCACATACAACATATATTTTGGCATGTAGATATAGAGATGTCATACTCCTTATATCATGCAGAATTTATCTAGTTTACTTGTACTGAGTTTAACTGTTGAACTTGAAAGCATGCCTACATTTCTATACTGTTATTTCTACACAGGACTGTACCTGTTGAGCTCGTCACTACTTTCAGTCCAAAGTAACGTTAGTCTTGTTAGTTATTGAGTACATGAGGTCGGTTGTACTCATACTATACTCTGCATTTCATGTGCAGATCCAGGTACTTCCGGATACGGCGATTGCTAGATTTGTGGATTTATCTGTTGGATACTATCGAGGTATCTACTTGGCGTCCGCAGACCTTAACTGTCTTTCCTTGGGTTGTAGCTCTAACTCATTGTCAGCAAATTTCCTTGTAATGGCAAGGGAGGTAGGTAGATTTTCTAGGCTTGTCCATTTCAGCATTTTGTAATCATTGTACCCTTTAGCAGGTACCCCTAGAATCTCTCCCAATTCCTTCTCGTCAAAGCTCACAGTCACCCATTTCACTACGTTGGTGACCTTGACATTCTTGATTTCACAGTTAGACATGAACTCCACAATCTCAGCTCTAGCTAGTCTTCCTTCCATCTGAAGGACCATGTCCTTCCAGCCCTGAAATTCTAGCTTCTCTAGCAACATCACCATTCTTTCCACTTCCAAGTCCCTGAGGAGTCTACCCTTTAAGATGGTTTTTTTTCAAACTTCACCATCTTGTCCCGTTCTTCACCAGTTTCCACTTCTTCTTCACTTTCTTCTTCTTCCACTACTTGCACTTTCTTAGATTTCCTGGCAGACCTGGTTCTTTTTGCCAAGGTAGAAGGCTCTGCATCAACAGTCTTTGAAGGAGACTTCTTTTTGGAAGTCTTTATTTTCTTTGCCTTTGGAGTCACAACCTCCACCTCATCTGCCTCATCTTCATCATGAAGAACCAGGTCCATCTCCTCAATCTCAATTTCCTTAACAGGCTCACTCACTTTCTTCTTTCCCTTTACAACGACTTTTCGTTTATTCTCTTCTAAGGATCTTTCAAGTTCAGCCTCACTCTGCTTCTTCTGACTCCTTGTAGCTATTACTCTTGTAGGAGGAGTCTCCAGAGGGATAGTGGAGGCAGCCTTTCTCTTCTTGTGTGCCTTAGCAGTTCCAGAGATTTTAACTCCTGAACTTTTCTTCTTTTTCGGGTTGTAGCTGTCAGACATTCATTTCAAAAAGTCTTCGAGGGATTCCTGCACATATGGAACATGTTCTTGGAACCTCTTCCTCAACCTAACCAGCCCCTCAGTTGCACTTGCATCGCCAGACCCACTACCCCCTTCTTCTCTCCAACTTGCTACCTCCTCAACATTTTCCTCACTCTATAACACCATAGCCCCTATTTTCTCATCCAACCCAACATGAGTAGGTGAAGATTCAACTACTCCTTCTTTACCCTTTCCCCTTACATTACCTTGAATGCCCTCACTCTCTTTTTCTTTTTCCTTTTTATTTTCACCATCAATTCTTTCAGACTCAGTGGTCTCTACCCCAGCAATAGTACCAACCAGAACAAATCTGTTCTCCAAATTTCCAGCCACTTTAGTAATGACATCACAAGCAATATTGAGACCATAAGTTACTTGTTCTGTTTCAGATGAAATAATTTCTCCCCCCTTAATAGCAGACTTAAAGGATTTTTTAGATTTTTGGGGTTTTTTTGCTTGGCTTGCTTTCAATTTCTCATTTACTTTCTTGATTTATTCACTGTCAGCGACTACTTTATGAGTAAGAATCTTGAACCTTCCTTTTTTAGAGGTGGGTGTGGTTGAAGGTGTGATCGAAGGTGTAGGTGATGCTTTTTTTGGGTGGTGAAGAAGGATTTTTAGAAGGGTTTGTCATTGCTGTGTGTAGAGGAGATGTGTGTGTAGAAGAGATGAGAGATGATAGAGAGGATTTTTGGCAGATGGAAAATTAGAAGTGAAGAAATGGGTAAGGCCTAATCAATTTAAAAACGGGTTTAAGTGGGTAACGATATATTTTTAAAAGTTCAGAGGACTAATTAAACTGGGAAAGTCTGTTTGAAAAGACGTTGGACTCTTCCCTAGAATCTAGGCAATTATGGCGCGTGGGACTCCTTTTGGATGAAACCAGTTCCTTTGTAACGGATAAAGATTCAGGGAGATTGGGATTAAATGTGACTCTCTTTTTGATCATGATCCAAATATAGTTATTTCAAAATATACGGAGTGGAGAGTATATACCATGTAATCTTGATAAACCAGGTTCTTCACTGAGAATTCTCTTGTGTAAGTCTGAATTTTCAAAGAAAATAAAGATAATATCATTAGGGATTAATGAGACATTTTAGCACATGGCACAAGAGTATACTAACGAAAGTGTGAGACTGAGCAAAATCTAATATAATTATTTACAAAATTAACAAATTGTCTAACCAAATAGTGAGTTAGAACTAGTTCTTTTTAGGTGATCTTAATCATCCCTAATTCTAACTTGTTCCTTTAAAAGTGATCTCTACTTAGAGATTTTGTAAAGATATCAGTTATTTACTTGTCAGTAGCACAAAATTCCTCAGTGGTCAAAACTTTTTCATAGTTGTCCCTCAAAAAGTGATGCCTAACATCTATGTGCTTAGTTCTTTTGTGATGAACCGGGTTCTTGGTCATACTAATTGCACTAGTGTTATCACAAAAGATGGGGATACAACCTACATCATTTCCAAATTCCATTAATTATTGTTTGATCCACAACAATTGAGCACAACACGAGGCAGCAGCCATACTCAGTTTCAGTAGTAGACAAAGCCATAAAATTTTGCTTTTTGGTGGCCCAAGACACAAGCCATGAGCCAAAAAAGTGAGCCATACATGAGGTGCTCTTTCTATCCACAAGAAATCCTGCATAGTCAATATCAGCATATCTCACGTAATTGAAATTACTACCTTTTGGATACCATAGACAGAGGTCAGTGATTATTTTTAGGTATCTCAATATCCTTTTGACAACAGCCAAGTGAGACCCCTTTGGATTTGCTTGAAATCTAGCACAAAGGCTTACACTAAAAACAATGTCAGGTCTACTAGCAGTGAGATATAACAAAAAGCCAATCATTCCCCTACACATCTTCTGATCAACAGATGAACCAGGTTCAACTATATCCAATTTTGTGGTTGTTGCTATAAGAGTGTCAATTTCTTTGGAATCTTCCATTTTAAACCTTCTGAGCAACTCTTTTATATACTCCTGCAGATGGATCATAGTTCCATATGAATTTTGTTTAATCTGTAAGCCTAAAAAGAAATTAAGCTCACCCATCATACTCATTTCAAATTCACTCCCTATTAGTTTAGCAAATCCTTTACTTAACCTATCTGTAGTTACTCCAAAGATTATATCATCAACATATATCTGAACTACCAAGAAATCTTTACCTTTTTTCTTTTAAGAACAAAGTATTATCAATTTTTACTCTCTTGTAACCATGCTCAAGTAAGAATTTAGACAATCTTTCATACCATGCTCTTGGAGATTGCTTGAGCCCATAAAGTGCCTTGTCAAGTTTGTACACATGATCAGAACTTTCCTTTCTTTCAAATCTAGGAGGTTGCTTGACAAACACTTCTTCCTATAGATAGCCATTGAGGAAGGCACTCTTGATATCCATCTGATGGAGAGTGAATTCCATGTAAGCAACAAAGGCTATAAGAAGTCTAATTGCTTACAATCTTACAACTAGAGCAAAAGTCTCAACATAGTCTATGCCCTCCCCTAGACTATATCCTTGAACCACCAATATTGCCTTGTTCCTTGTAACTGTTCCATCTTCATCAAGTTTGTTTTTGAAGACCTATTTTGTGCCAATTACTGATCTGTCCTTGGATCTTGGTACCAGATGTCAAACTTGACTTCTCTCAAATTGGTTGAGTTCATCTTATATTGCATTCACCCAGTCTGTATCTTGCAAAGCCTCAGTAATATTTTTAGGTTCAATAAGAGATAAAAAAACATCAAAAGCACAAAGATTCTTCAAAGAAGATCTGGTTTTGATTCCAGATGTTGGATCAGTGATTATGTTCCCAATGGGATGAGAACTTTGATACTTGTAAGGTTTCACAACTAGCTGGTTTCCCTTATATGTTCCGTCAATGTTTTGTTGCTGAAGATCATGTTCATGGACAAGTTTCCTCAAGGTTTGAGGATCAGTTCCTCTCTGTTCAATTCCCCCTGTCAGATTTTCCTGGGTGGAAGACCTATTCCAACACATGTTCCTTCATCTGGCGCAGATTCAGTCTCGGTTGTGGTTTCATTTGAGTTTCTTACCAGCCCAATTGCTTCATTGTCATGCCCCGAACCTGGGGGCGAGACCGGCACCCGGTGCCTCACCTATCCTTGCGTACCAACTTGCGACTAAGGGACTCTGAACATTTAATGTCATACTTTGGCCATGGCCACATTGCAAGACAATTTGCGAAGAAAAATATAAAACTGAACAGAAGCTAACACAGACTAAACATCAATATAAAGCTAGGCCGACAAGGCCGTCATAACTATATATCTGAAAAACCAACAAAATATACATACAAGGCCTACAAGTCCAACATACTGCACTAACTGGCAGGATGTGTCTACAAGCCTCTACTGATGGATGTACTGTGATCGGAACAGGGCCCTGACCTACCCATAACCTATATACATATATACATAAGATATACACAAAACTCTAGACCTGACAACTCCGAAGGACGTGGAGCTTACCGATAAAGCTGAACTCGGGCAACACCTACTGAAGAGGTCTACTCGTCTGTCTGTCTGAACCTGCACACATGAAATGCAGCGTCCCCAAAGAAAGGGACGCCATTACGAAATAACGTACCGAGTATGCAAGGAAATAAAATAACTGAAAGCTGAAACTGAACTGATAATACAATAACTGAAAGTAACTGGGAGTCAAAGATGATCTAGAGATATACTTACCTGCTCATACCGACTCCACTCTCTCAATATAGTAAATAAAATAGATGTCCGGCCCTATAAGGCTCGGAATGTGTAACTGCTCCACAGCTCATAGGCGCTCGGCCATACTAGGCTCTGTACCTCGTCTATGCTGGGCTCACTTATAGGCGCTCGGCCACAGTAGGCTTAGTATATAACTTACCATCTGATAAGAGGTTGTCCAATAGGGGCNGACTGGAAGAAGATAATACTCAATTGAATATGAAGTCCCGATAAGGGAAAATACTGTAACTTATAAAACTAGGATAATGTATATAAATTTGGGAGTATGAACTTCTCTTTATGCCTCGTTAACAAACGCATGTAGTTACGAGATCATACCAAAATGAAGGAAGGGCTTAACCTTAACATACCTGGCGTAGGAAAAAATCCGTATGATATTCTTGGGAAAGATTGCACCGTACTCCCTTAGAATCGCAAAATTCCGTTGCTATTAAGCAGTATAATTTCGTACGATATTTTTTCTTAAGATCGTTACCTTGTTGAATTTATATTCCATCTCTCTTAATGAATTTGATCACAATATTGTATAACTTTTCTTGCTGAAGCTATCCGTCACTTTGAGGATGTAAATGTCTTCATTTTTGTGAATTAAAGAAGTCTTTTGATAACATTCTTTATCCCAAAGAGATAAGGTGCTCATCTCTTGATGTGTTGCCACCTTGCAAGGTGATTCAAGAGTCACTTAATGGATTCCATGTGGCTGTCACGTTGGGGAGTTAATTCTTATCCCATAATTATCCACTTAATTCCTTACTCAATTTGTTAATTCCCCATTAACTAATAATTATCCAATTATCCAAATAATTAGGAATTATCTCAAATTACTTAAAATACTACTTACTTTTAACACACTTTATATACCTTACTATCATGGTCATGTAGTTCCTTGTATGTCACTAGTCCATAAATATTGGGTACTATAGCTCGGACCGTATTGTTTTCCCAAATCGACAATCTTCAACGAAATTCATTTTCTTTGATTCGTTTACCCTTTAACCTTCACAGCATTTTATTTATCGCCTATTATAAATAGCATAAATTCTTATAATCTCAAAATAAGCTCATCCCCGAGTCTACGTCGATTATCTGAAGACGGAACTTTAACGTACGAAAACGCGAGATGTAACATCCTTCCCCCCTTAGAAAGATTCGTCCTCGAATGTTTACTCGTAGAGACAATGTCTAAGAA